CCCACAAAAAACTATGGATGTTGGCCATGAAAGCCTTCGACTTCACAAATGTAACACTGTCTTGTGGATTTTGGATGATACTGTACTTTGCTATATGGCCAACAGAGCTACCCCTGGATATGTGTCCAGAGGAGGGCAACCAAAATGGTGAAGGGTCTGGGAGCCATATCCTATGAGTAGTGACTTAGGGAGCTGGGGATGTTTAGCCTGGAGAAGAGAAGGTTAAGAGGTGACATAATATTCCTGTTCTAAGTATTTGAAGGGTGTCATATTGAGGATGGAGCAAGCTTGTTTTCTGCTGCTTCAGAGAATAGGACCTGGAGCAATGGATGCAGGCTACAGCAAAAGAGATCCACCTCAACATTAGGAGGAACTTCCTGACAGTGAGAGTTGTTCAAAAATGGAACACACTCTCCCGGAGAGTGTTGGAGTCTCCTTCTTTGGAGGTCTTTAAGCAAAGGCTGGATGGCCATCTGTCAGGGATGCTTTGATTGAGAGTTTCTGCATGGCAGAAGGGGGTTGGAGTAGATGGCCCTTGAGGCCTCTTCCAACTCTGTGATTCTATGATTCTAACACCCATTTGCAAAACAGAAAGATACTTTCTTTGCAATCCAGTATGTCTCCATCCTTTGTGAGGGCACAGGTGCTGCTAGTCTCTGTTTCGGAGGAAGGGACTGGCAAAACCACCTCTTGAGTGTTCCTTGCTTAAGAAAATACTGTGAAATCCTTGGGGTTCCCATCAGTCAACACTCACCAAAAGGGGAGGATGCCTTTTGCGAGACCAGTAAAGTGAAGAAGCCAGGTGGCTGCTCTCTCTGAGGAAGAGATGTCTAAGCAAGGTGACCAGACACATCCTCCTTTTCCAGGACACGTCCTACATCTCAACCTCTGTCCAGGAAGAATTCCCATGGCTAAGAAGCATGAATTTGCATTCATATTAAGTGCTTTTAGCGTTTATTTGGTCGCATCCTCCATTTTTCCTGAAGGTCCTACATTTTGAGGTGCCTTGTCCTCCTTTGCAATGAGGACGTATCTGGTCTCCCTGTGTCAAAAGGGAAACTGGGGAGGGCTCCTGCAGAGGGTGACCAGATGTGTCCTCACTGCAAAGGAGGACAAGCCATGCCAAAATGTAGAACATGTCAATAAAAATGAAGAACATTACAAAATAAAAGCTAAAAAAAAGTAAAAGTATTCCCTGTTGATAAGATTCTCAAGTTGTGTCTGACCATAGGGGAGGTGCTCATCTCTGTTGCTAAGCCGAAGAGCCAGTGTTTTCTGAGGACTACTATGGTGGTCACGTGGCCAGCATGACTGCACCAAATGCAGTTACCTTCCCACTGAAAAGTGGTACCTATTTATCTACATGCATTTGTATGCTTTCGAACTGCTAGGTTGGCAGAAGCTGGGACTAGTGACAGGAGCTCATCCCATCATGCAGCACCTGGGCCTTGAACTGTCAACCTGACGATCTTGCAGTCAACAGAGTCAGCGCCTTAATCACTTTGAGCCACTGCACCCCATACCATCCTCCCAGGGAGTGCTAATTTTCCTGGACTTTGAGAATCTCCCAGCAGGGAGATCCGGCCCCCAGGCCTTAGGTTTGATAGCATGCTAAGGGAATTCAACAAGGGGTAACAAAGCATAGAAAGGGGAACCACATGAGGCTGAAGAAGCACTACTGAAAGAAGTAGCCAGGTTGCCATTGTGGCAGTCGCTAACAACCTCTAGGTCAGGAAGGTAAAATGGCCAGTACTGAATGTTGGAAGTTGGAATGGTGGAGAAAGAGATGCATTTTGGAAGGTGCTTTCAAGAACTCTCTTGAAAATTCAAAATGTTTTTGTTTACTTATGGAAGGCAGCAACAACACGTTTTATTGATTAGTCGACTGACCGTATCAACAATAAAATACAGTATTTCAAGTACAGATTCAGTGTATTGAAAAACAAGCAGTAATAAAAGCTCAATTCTAAAATAAATCTAAAAATGACCAGAATTAGAACATATTCATTTAAGTAAACAACTGAATAAATAAAATATTTTAAGGCATACCTGTCCTGGTTGTTTCATTTCACATGGACATTTTGTTAGTTTTAGTAAAAAGTTTCCTGAAACATGT